GCAGAAATCCAACACTAGTAATTCGACGACATAGATGACGCCGTCAATCGCAATGCGAGCAGTGCAGGCAGCGGCTGGCGTGACGTGCTTTGCGCTTGCTGTACGAAGCGATATACTTGCTTGTGGCGTCATAACTTTTAAACAAGCGGCAGAGTCTAGCACTGATCACTGAAACTGTGGCACCAGTGTCAACAAGAGCGAGTGCAGCGACGCCGTTCTGACATACGTTCAGTACATTCGTCGGTGAAGAGAGAGGCCTTGGTCTTTTCGTGGGCGTCGCAGTTCCTGCCTCTGGAACTGTGGCATTTAGTTTTCCCGCTCCGGCGATGAAGGACGACGACGCAACGGCGATAGCGAGCGGCGTCGAGGCGGTTAACAGGAGGGTGGTGGTGAGCGTACGATGACATCTGGTCGGGATGCTGACAGCCAGCGAACGAAGGGTGCGGTGGCACATAAGGGACAGGTTCGAAAGCTCTGGTGGTAGTTCTGGTGATAGGCAGGGACACGCCGACGGCAGTATCGCGCTATGTGGCCAGGCAACCCACAGGCAAAGCATATCGGCCGATTGTCGGGTGTACGCCGTTGTCCACTACTCTGGAGGTACCTTGGCTGAGCAAACCGATTAGTGGGCATGGCTGATAGTAGTGACCTAAAAGTCTGAAGAGGTGGCCTTGCGGCAACCTCAGCATAGCTTAGGGGTGCATTCACCTCGGCACAGGCTACAGGGATCGACAACAGCGAAGTGTCGTGGGCAGGTGGCAGAGCCGCGCAAACTTGCTCCTGGATCACCTCACGAATGTTTGCTGGCAGATGTGATGGTGGTTGGCCGGCTGTTGATAGCAGTGACAGCTGACGAGGGACCTCAGCTCGAAAAAACTCTTTAATCTGCGATAGCAGCGAGTGATGGTCAGAGGTGGTTGTCAAGCTTGAGAGGGTGTCATCCGGAACGTTAGGGCGTCGCGTGAGAAGACGCTGTCGTCGGAGCTCGTCAAAACTCTGACACAGCTCGATGAGCTCCGAGACAGTGGCAGCGTTTTTCGAGAGGAGCATTTGAAAGGCGTCGTCGGAAATGCCTTTCATAATGTGTCGTACCTTGCCACTTTCCAGCATCGTCGGGTCAACACGCCGGCAGAGGTCGAGGATGTCCTCGATGTAGCTGGTGAATGTCTCACCAGGATGTTGGGACCGGCGTCGTAGTCGTTGTTTTGCGCGAAGTTTGCGCACCCCAGGGCGTCCAAAAACAGCTGTTATGCAGGTCTTGAAGTTCTTCAAAGTATTAATGTCCCGTCTCGTGGTTTCTGTACCACAGCTTGGCGACATCTGTTAAATAAAACATCACGGTACCCAGTTTCATGGAATCATCTCATTTGTTGATAGCGCTGGCTCGTACGTAGGATTCCAGCCAATTCTCAACGTCTTTCTCGTCTGTGCCGCTGAAGATGTCGGGTTCACACAGGAGCTGGGCACCGGGACAGCCCCTAGTTGGTGAAGCCCGGGGAGGTGTGAAGACAGCGTCGTCAAGCGTGACGGACGGCAGCTTTCGGCTACGCAATTCCAGGATCGGGGAAACCGCAGCAGCCTCCACCAAAATATAATGTAAATGCAAGGCGATAAGCGGTAGCAGCGTCAGGACAGAAGCACCAAGAGCTGGCCGGATATACGGGCGTCGTCGCAGCAGCAACCAGGCAGTCCAAGCTCGCGCCTCGCACCAACGTGTCGATGTCGCTGCTTTAGTGGGCATTCCTCTTCATTACAGTACATAATTTTAAATGCAAACAAAGCAATACAGTTCAACATCACGCAAGCACTTCGTGGAAACAGCCCTTTACAAACCCTTCATCGAACAAAAAATGTTATAGGAAGCGCTTCATGAAAAAGAAAAAATTATCATGCAAACACTTCATGCAAAGAAACATATCGTACAGAAAACTTCACTTAAACAAGCAGTATGATACAAATACTTCAAGAATATGTACCCATATGTATTCAACTAGGGAGCTTTAAAATGTAGCATGAACTAGAGAAAAACATAGATAAACAGCTTGATTTAAAGGTAATTGATAAGCTCTCGTAGGAAGCAAAAGAAATCTTTCCAGATATTGTTTGAAGCGGGGTGCGTAAAGGTCTATATCACTCCTCATAATGTTTAATAGCCAGGATTATATATCCTAGGTCCTGACGTCCGTAGTTTGTTCGCATGAGTGGTAGTATTCTTGTTTGGGGGAGTAATTGATACCAAGGATATGAAATTGCTACGCTACTAACATGCAGTGTCCGCTTTTTCTGGAGCAATGGTAATCTCTGGTAGTAATTTTTTATTACATTCAATAATGTTCATCAAAAATATTGTGTGTGGGTGAATCTCATGGCCTACCATGATAGTTTTCGGAACTTCTCGTTACCTTTTTGTAGTTTCATTATTTCTTCGTAATTTTTGCGGTTGTTGTTCGCCAGACAAATTCACAATAACTATGCTTTGAGTAAAAAATAGGCCGTAGTACATTGCGTTTTTTTTTGTAGTGGTGTAATACTACTACTCCTTTAAATAGATCCTACTACTTTGCTAAGGTCACTGTGAAGCTATTCAATTTGATTGTCCCAAGAGAAGTTTTCTTGACACCATACCTCCCAAATCTTTTGCGTTGCTACTGTTTCTATCTCATTTAGTTTCAATAAAACAGTAATATTCACAGGCATTGGCTTACTTATTAACATAAATAAGATATATTTGGCTTTCGTAGCACTATTTTATGTTTGTTTAAGTTCAGCCGGTCAGACAATACATCTAAGTCATCATTCATTTCATTTTCAATCTATTTTAAGAATGTTTTTGAAAAGAAAAGATTGGTTTCATCCGCATATATGACTATATTCGGTGTAGGTGAAATGCTTGGGAAGTCATTGATTGATATGTGGGGTTTAATGTCCTAAAACCACCATGCCATTATGAGAAACTCCGTAGTCGAAAGCATGGAAAATTCGACCGCCTGAGGTTCTTTAACGTGCACCCAAATCTGAGCACACGAGCTTACAGCATTTTCGCCTCTAACGAAAATGCAGCCGCCGCAGCTGAGATTCAATCCCGCGAGCTGCGGGTCAGTAGCCGAGTACCTTAGTGACTAGACCACCACGATTTGGCTGCTTGGGAGGTCAGTAAAATATATTTTTAATAATACTGGGCCGAATATAGAGTTCCCTGCGGTACACCAGTTTGAATTTAAAATGTGGAGAGGTCCATCCATCTGGACGCAAGGATGGATGGACACATAGACAGAGGCAAGAACGGTTGGGCGGATGGACTGACGGACGCATGGACTAACGCACGGACGGACTGACGGACACCCAGACAAACGGGTAGAGAGAAGCACAGACGTACGGACGGACGCATGGACGCTTCGCCACCCTCACTTACTCCATGGATATGCTGTGATTTCTCTTAGTATTGGTGTGTATGGGTTGCCCTTTTACCTGTTTGATGCATTTACGAATGTGAGATTAAATTTCTTTTCATCGCCTTTGTTCTAGAGTCCACCTATGACCACATAGTTGACAAGGCTCACGAGAAATGTGTGGAAGAGACGCCGCAAGCTTTCCTCAGAAAGTACGCCTCCTTTAATGGCAACTCGTTTGGTCAAATGTTACATGTGTTCTGCTTTGACCATGGTTCCCTCTATGCTGAGATCATTTCTGCCGTCTTCCTGCAGTATTATGCCAGAATCCTTCTGACGCAACTTGCGGAATATGCGTGTACCATCCGCAGTGTGCTCTGGATCGTACGGGGCTACTTCACGGTGCTGAACGGGGCTAACTTATAACTGAATCCACCACTGCGATCTTGTGCAGTGATAGGTGCAGATCGGGCCCAAAGTAGTGCTTGCCATTGTATCTTTTATTCGCAAATGGGCAGCTGTAAAGATGATCACCAGCGCTTCACAGAAGTGAAGTAAAAACTATCTTAAATACATTGTCTTTCGCAAAGCCTACAAGGTTGATTCTATAAAACAGTAGTTCATTCTGATGATATCAGTCAAGGTCAATCGATCACCTTTTGTGAATTTTCGAAAGATATAACATAGCACACTGGTCATTTCTTGTGTAGTGGCACTCTCAAGATTTCCTTTCTCTACGAGCTGAGGAGTATTCTATGGATTCTTCCCGGGTGGTATAACTTTACGGTTTAACTCTATATTTCTCAAAATAAAAAGGGAGCTGTCATTTCAAGCACACGAATAAATAGAAAGGAAGAGAGGACAAGCGCCTTGTCCTCTCTTCCTTTCTGTTTATTTGTGCGCTTGAACTGACAGTTATACCTTGCATATTCAATTAGCCCAAGTTTCGATTCTGTTATAAAAAGGGAAGTTGACTTCGAATGGTCATAACCACTGGCGAAAGCAATCGCTCAATTTTCCCAGTAACATAAAGGCTAACGTTTCACTCGTGCTTTGCTAAAGGGAACCTTAGCAACCTGTCACTCTCCTGAAAGTTTCACCATTCTCTGTCGCATCCAGCCTCGCAATTCCAAAATTGTGCTGAATTATTTCGTAGCTGTTCAAAGTCAAAGCAGGGCGTCTGCCTTCCTTCCTCTCTGCATAGATGCCAGCACATGGTAGAGCAAGCTGAGTACATATGGGAGTGATGAATCCACATATTATTCCCTGTATCGTCCGCTTTCTCAGCATCAATCAAACTCTGAGCGTCGCACAGATCGGCCTCCAAAGCATGCATGCAGAGCGAGCTGCTCAAACACAAATGTTTCTCGGCACAGACACATCATTCTTGTATTGTCGTTACCATGCAGAGGCGCAAAATTTTAAAAATACATATGGCCATGAGTGTTCCGGATGGCACATCCTTGTACGTACAGTGAATGATGTCTGATAGAGTTTCTTTTTTTTTTATTCATGTCACCATACCTGTGTGTCAAGGCCGAGTTTCGTCATGGACTTTCGTTTCCTTACGCGTTATAAGCTGCGTTCTATCTTCTACTTGACTCCACTCGTCCTTTGACCGCTACCAGTTGCTTCTCTTTCCTTCGAAATTGTCGGACTTTGGGCCCTTATCCACCGCTATGTTACCTGTGACCGTATGTGTGTGTATCTTCTTTGCAGCTGCTTTCGCCGAAGAGTGCAGCAAGGTTCAGCTCGGTAAGCGTGAATTTTCAACCACCCAAACTAGGTACCCATAATCTTGGTGAAAATAATTTCTATGATGCTATGTCCCCGAACCGTGAAATTACTACGAGCGGCCCCGTTTCGGGGAGGTCCGGAAACTCAGAGCACATGAAGGTGTTTAACGTGCCCCTTTATTTAATCACATAGACGTCAATTATTGTGCCTCCATCTAAACACGACCGCCACGGCCGGAATTCTATTCCACGACCTTAAGGTCAGCAGTCTTGCATTATAACCGCACGATCACCACGGTGGATAGTATCTTGGTGAAGGTGGAGAGAACGTTAACATGCAGACTATCTCACGACTCATACCAACAACTATCCTCTTCTAGCAGTGCTGAAGGCGCCTGTATGACTTAATTGAAGGAGCTTTCTTTTTGAAAAAAACTCGATGACAATTTGCATCCTTATCCCTGACAAAAATTTCGAGTTCTTTTAACGTTTGTTTTTTCAATCTATTGTTGATGCGCTCGTCTTTTAAAAATGAATCGGCATCCTATTAACACTCAACAGTCAGAGATTATTAGGTGTAATCTATGTGTGTGTGTCTGTGTACCTGCTTGTGCTCTTGTGTATTTTCCAGTCGGTACATCATAATCATCACCCAGCACCTGGAATGGGACGTCATACAGTTAGCTAGACAGACGTACCCATCATTTCAGTGAAACATTTCTCTCTCTCTCTCTCACGCTCTAAAACAATCGAAGTCACTCATAAACGTAAATGAGAATAAACGTTCAGCCTACTGTTCTGAGATGAAAGGCTTCGCCTCGGTCGTTCTATCTTAATTGTGTCTTGCAGCATGTTGTCAAGTGGCTATTATCTGAGTCAGCTTTCACGTAAAAATTCGTGTGGACCTCCTCCTCCCTATTTTCTTTGTCTGATGTCTAACGGCTTAGGACAATAACCACCTACACCTACCCTCTTATAGAATTCAGGGTAGTTGTGATGTGTCCTATGACATCTGGCTTCCAGTATTGCTTCCAAATTGCTTTCTCTGGTAATATGATTTGCTGAGGAATAATTTCTTTTGTTGGGGGAGCTTCTATAATTTGCTTTAAATAAAGTGAAACCACGTTATCTATTTGATTTATCTGCTCTGCTTATGTACAAAACTTTAAAGTTTACTAGTGTTAAACACTGGATTTTAATGCGTACAGCAGGCCAAAATTTAATTTTATGTGCAGCGGCGACTTTTTTGTCTGTCAGAGCCATACGATGGTACGAAATTGCAAAAAAAATTGCTTTGTGGACATGCGCTTTGTGAACTTAATTCAATAGTATGGCAAAGATACACAGAAAAAACTGCCACTTATGCACGATTTCGCTCACGTTACATACATACATACATACATACATACATACATACATACATACATACATACATACATACATACATACATACATACATACATACATACATACATACATACATAGATACATACATACATACATACATACATACATACATACATACACACACACACACACACACACACACACACATACATACATACATACATACATACATACATACATACATACATACATACATACATACATACATACATACATACATACATACATACATACATACATACATACATACATACATACATACATACATACATACATACATACATACATGCCATGTAATAACTGAAATTTTATTTCTCACTTCTGTCATTACTGATTAAGGCAATGTCGCATAGCCCACCTAGAGAACAAGAATTTATTATTGGCCACCTGGCATCAAAATATGCGGAAGACTATGCTAATAGATGGGTAGCAAGAGACTATGACAATGGCAAGAAAAGCCCCCGATAAAGAGCTCGCCGTATCTCTTATGCATTTGCCTTAGATGACCTAAGGCGCTCGCCGTCTTCTGCTTTTAAGAGCAGGGCTGTTGAAGGAAAGGTGAATTATTGGGTATCGGTCGTCCGCTTTATCTAGCCTCGCTTTGAGAGCAAATCCTAACAAAAGAGAAGCATGAGTAAAGATAAGTGGATGAGTGAGAAACCTAGGTTAGCGAATCTAGCCTGCAATAGAAATGGTAGTGATGTAAATCAGGTGAACGGGGCGAAGAAGAGCGCGAAGGTGAAGCTGGGGTGGCAGGAAAGCAGATGGCGTCGATAGGAGGAGAAATCGGGAACGCGATTGGCTGAGGCGGCGAAAGGAGTCGATCAATGGCTACACGTGCTCAAGCACACGTCCTGCAGGTTACAGAGGAAGTGCACCGAACATTGGTGAAAAAAGAGAAAGGACGTGCTGATGCCACCAGCTTCACTGTTTAATTAGCATTTGCGAGGTTAACTCTGTTGAAGCTGTGCGAATTTGTTTTTCTTGTCCATTGATGTATTCCTCTTCTCTCGGCTCACTGTGAAAGCTGTCTGCACCGAATGGCGATTTGCACTGTCTCTGTGGTCAGACGCACATTGGCTGTCTGGCCCTAAAATGGTGTTCCACTGACTCAGTGATCATCGCATCTTTTGAATGAGTTATCACTTGATGAGAGGACGCCATCATGTGCCATCACGTAATGTGACGGCACAACAACGTCCCACGTTCTGGCGATCTGCGATGTCAAGGCAATCTTTCGCATGAACCATGTTGACGCCGACCCTGCGGGACACCAACACCGACGATTAATTATTTTCATTTGATAAGACACATAAAGCTCTTCTCTTATTACAACTCAGTTCAGACATAATTGAATGTACGAACAGCGCAACTTGAAACTAGTAACATTGTAACTACGGAAACAAAGAAACAATGATGGAAAGGAGCGCTGTAACATGAAGGCAGTAGGAAAATGATCCAGCTATGCAAACAGCCAGGGCGATACGACTTATTGAAACGCTGGGAGGAGCAAAAGAACAAGAAAAGTGCCCAAGTTTCCACGCTTCAGCTGAGACTCTTGGTATGCACATTGCGAAAGCATTAGTGGCTGTTTCCGCAGTTCTTGAGAAGAAACCATGTATGATCACTGCATTTCACTGGACCTAACATTTGAAGGACACAGATGAAACCGCCGAGAAACGCAAAATGAAGTCCAGTAGGCATAACATTAGTAGAATAGAGGACGCTATGAGTTGAAAACAAATGAGTTTGATTTTTCACAGCTGCTCAGAATGGTTTCAATGTAAGCTTTTCCCACAGAGCCACGGCGCGCTTACACCATACCTGAGAAAGACAATCGTGTCGTTGGAACCATGAAATTTTTCGACCAATCTAAATGCTACGCCTATGCAAAGATAAGGTTCGTTGTTACTAGCTACAAATTGTGCTTCTTCACGGACAAACGCAAGTACTACGCATATTGAGGTTGATCGTTACTATCTAGGCTTCGATAAAAGCCCAAGGACCGAATTCACAAATATTCTCTTTAAGGAGGGCGTTTTCCTACTGGTCAGCCGGCTTCGCTAGTGGTATGAACCACAGCATGATTGGGAGTATTATTCTGTTACTGAAATATTTACCGTCAGACGCTTTTGTGATTACAATCCCAGTTATCTCGACTGTCTTTCACATGTGAAGGTTCAGTGCGCCTTGGTTTTGTGGGTGGACCTTACAATTCTTTTTGGGTTCTAACCGAGTATAGCAGGCCTTGAAAGCAAGAAAGAGAAGCTATATAAGCTTCCTAACACTCAGGGCAGATTACCATTGACCTACATGAATCCTAATATGACTTCCGAGTTTGGAGGAGCGCAATAAAAGAAGACAGAGAATTCGATGGTGCGGTGAAGCTATAGCACGTTCGCGAGAAAATATATAAGGTATACTCACGCAACGCGAGAGCCATTCTAGATGTTTGCAAAAGACTATCACCCTTCAGCAGACATACACTAGGTTGATGCTGATTGATACTGGTGATGATGATGTAGACCTGAAGAATTGTGTGACAGATATCGTGCTTGTTTTTTCAGATGATGCAACGATGAAAGAAGCTGGAGAGGTGGCTACGAAGCTGATGAAAGAATGCGTCCATCTTCTCGACAAGTACCCCACGCCTATCAGCACTATTGCTGACGTGCGTTAAATTTCTCATCATTTTCATTGTACAGTGACGACACAACGATCGTCATTCAAAAACACTTCAGTGTCACCATGAAACTGCTCACTCTATTATACCACTGCCACGTAATTTTTGCGACACGTCAGTTTCGAAAACGGTGCGGTGTAATAACAAGTAGACGCTTCATGATTTGCTCCGTTTTTTTATAGGAAGCTTAAACAAAGCTTGCAGCTCAATTAGTGCCCATTCAGATGCAATAGAAGTTCATAAATATTTCTTTATGAAAGTATATAAGAGCTTGGTACCAGTGCGTGGTGCCGGCTACTCCTTTTCTCTGCACCAAAGTGGTCGTCGCAAAATAGAATACCAGCACGTGAATATGGAAAACCATAAATAGAACACTCGGGCACACAGCCTATATAATCAATACTGAAATCTGTCCACGCCACTCTAAAGTTGCCAAATTCTAAGTATTCAGTCAATTGACACAAAACCTAAGACTTCAATAGAATGTTCTCATTGCCGATCATGTCCCTCGATAACTCACTCTTGCATACCATATTGTTGCTGCTACATTTACGTTTACCAAAAAAACATTTTCTGCTGAAACGATAGCGCAAGAATTTTTCAGCCTAAATTAAAGGTTAACAAATGTTGTGAGAGGACACCTGAAGTGAATAAAATCATACTTCTTAAACCCCGATGAATGATATTGCAGTAAGTATGAAAAAGAATATTGATACTTCGAACAACTTTTTTTCTCGATTTCAAATATTGCGAGGTTTATAAATGCACGCTATGTTTAAAAGTACGTTTTTGACTTTTCCAAAATATGGCAGTCTAATTCCAATACTGAAGATAATCGCGCTATAAGTATTGCATCTATTTCTTTCCTCGAGGCTACAGAAAACAAACGTGACATCACCATGTGTGTTTCTTTCAACAGGGAATGAAGTTGTTATGCGACGACTACGCTACATGCCACGACAAGCACGAATCTCTGACGTCGGTACGAGTCATTTCTTTTCATAGTTTTTCCAAGTAATGAGTGCGGAGCTTGTCCGCAGTTAGAGGCGTCAATGAATGTTTCTTCACTGTGAGAAAAATGTAGCGAACGCATGCAACATCAGCAATGAACCCTTTCAGCCAACATTCCTTTTCACGAAAATCTGTAAACCTTTTCGACTGAGCAGTTCTTGTTCAGTAACATCTAAATACATTCTTAAAATACATTCTTAGAACGTCGCACGATAAATCTTGCATGTTAAATTGCGGTACCTGTATTTCGTTCCCAGTAATAATGCTAATAAAGGGAATCGTATCTATTACTTTTGCTAGTCTAACCCCCTTGGAAGTGTCTTTCACAGTGACAATATGACAGGTTTCCCACAACTCAGCAATGGGAGCTATTGATGCAATAAAATAACGAAGGATGAAAGAGCCATATGAAATATTAAAACACACTAATCTGTCGTTATTTGTCAGGTAGCTCTATTGTTCATTGTCTCCTCAGTACACACATTGCCACCAGGACTGAGTAACTTCAAAACAACTTGTTTCTGAAGTAATTTGAGTGCATCATTTACCTGATGATTTTAGTATTTTTTATTGTTACCCTTTTCATGCAGAAGCCGGATGACTACAGGAAGGAGCTCATCAAGTGTGTTCAGCCACATTTCTTGAAGTTTTACGTAAGTATTTAACTTGTTCCGCAGCGCAATCCCCAAGGAGGAAACCTTAGAACCTGATTACAAAGCGCGGGTTCAGACCATCTACGTTACAGTTGTGCATTGCGCTCTACATTGCTAAGAATTAGTGAAATATATGATACGTCCATGAGAATCACCTTTTACGTAAGCAAACTCTGCTATCTTGTATAGAAATTAAGACGCTGTAATGCTGTCGCTGAAGTTTATGTTGAAATGCAGTAGACGTACTGTTACCGTGATCTCGTCCACGAGAGTCGTGTAATAAACTTAGCGTGCGAGCTTTCTTCCCTGTTTATATTAACATAAAAATATTTCAATATGTGTCGGATGGTTCTATAGGGACACGACGAACAGTATACTCTTCTATGTACTGTTTGGCATGTGCTTAAGGGGCAAGCCGTAATTACATCACGCCAGTATTTTTCGAACACCTATAATTAGGCTCGCATGCTAGAATACTGTATGCTGCTCTTACTCGCATCCCGCACGACGCTGTGCGAAACCGTTGCTCGCTGAAACATAAATGGTCACACTGTGATCTTGCTTTTCTTACGCAGAAATCGAGACCTGAACTGAAACACGACCCAGAGCAGGTTGGAAAGGAAATCAGCGTAAGTATTTACTATATGGCTGACCTGTCGCTGGCTGAGTACAGTGCGCTAATCAGCTACAAGATTACAAAAGCATGTTTCTTCTTCGGGTAGAGTTTAACGTGTTCTAGACGAATTGGTAGTTATTTTCTAGCCATATACGATACCTGGTCCCTCCTACATTGGCACACAAACGATCTTGTGACGCTCAGGTCGTATTCCAGGTTCACCAAGTTACCCATACCGGGTTACTCTCAATGCCTTGAGTGAGGCAGTAAAAGCAGCATGAATAAATCTGAACGTGGTCATCTGGAAAAAGACAGAGCTCAACAAAATTGATACATTAATTAGAACAGAATCGAAAAAGGTCATGAGCCTCCCTCACAACACTAGTACGGGACGACTCCTCCAATTGGACCTGCACAACACAGCAACCATTCTCTTTGAGGCACAGTGGCATGCACAGATTAGTCGGCTCTCACTTTCATTGGCGGGCAACGAGATCTTGTTGGAAGCCGGCCTTCAGCCCCTATTCATGCCGCCAAAGAAGTCCTAACTTTGCACACACGCCATGAAAGCGACAACAGTTGACCCTATTCACAAAAATACACCCAACTCACAATGAAGGACAAAGAAAAGCAAGAGCCAAGGCCATACTCACCAATATTATGTGCAACAATATGAAAGTCCTTTTCGTTGGTGCTGCAAAATATTCTAATCCGGGTGCCTACGCAGTCTCTGTGGTGTACGCCCATGGCTCGCTCATCAACGCAATCATGGTAGTTACCAACTTTACCTAAGAAGCAGAAGAAATGGCCATTGCCCTAGCCCTTCGAAGCTGCACGGGAGCCTCTGTCCTTTACTCGGACTCAGGAACAGCTATAAGAACTTTTTCGGCAACCCTAGTCTCTTCGAAGGCCGCTACGGTCGTTAACAGGCTCTTCAACTAATAGACGAAGGACAAAAATTTTTCATCCTCACACATAGCATGGTTCCCGGCTCACATGGGAAACATTTATGGTTTTCCTGGCAACCCAAACGAGCGAGCACACCAACTGGCGCGAGAGCTCACTTTCCGCGTCAGCGCTCCACCCCCTCACTTAGGTGCAGCCTGCAGGAACCTCTACCACAAAGACCCACTCGTATCATATCGCACACTCACCTCTCATCAAAGATTAGAACGTCGAACTTTTCCTCCTCTTCACACAAATTTGAACAGAGCACAAGCAATCACTTGCAAACAACTGCAGACTCGTACATACATCACACCAACGACACTAAGCAGGATCAGTTCTGACTTCTCTACTGTATGTCAGCACTGTGGCAACGAATATAACGATTTCGGCCACATGCTCTGGCTGTGCCCTGACAACATGGGCGCAGAATTTTCTGACCAGTCCTCTTGGGACTCCGCCCTTCGAAGCACAGAGCTCCGCGTTCAGCTCTAGGCTGTCCAGAGGGCCCGCGCCGTCGCCAAACGACTGTCTACTGGTCCCGACCTGGGTGGAGCCGTCGGATTGATTGGCAGGGCTTTAGGCACAACTTTCATCTCAGGACCCCAATAAAGTTCATACTCACTCACTGACTCACTACAGAGGCAGATATTTGAATGCGTAGCTGAATAGAACTCACCTAATTGTTCACTTTGTTGACTTAAGCTAGTAAACTATTGAATAGATTAATTGATGAATATGTTTGGTGTTTTGTAGCGCAAGGTCCATTTGACGAAATTAAATTAATTAACTGTCATTTTCTCGGCTCCTATTAACGTTTGCTTGTGGACCTTTTCAATTCTTGTTCAAGTTTTTTTTTAATTATTGTTTCCTAATTTTTCAGGAGTGCGTTATGGATCACATCCCACTTTCAAAGAACATGGGAATGGCTGTCGGCAAATGGATCTTGAAAATCTTAGGGCACTCTGAGTGACCTTGTAACAGTATGGCGATTTGTGGGCAATAAATATTTTGACAAATCAGTTTTCTTAGTATGCGAATAAAGCAACGTATGTATTATTACCTCTTTATAGTGGACCAGATGTATTCTGTGAAGACAGATAATCCACCGAGCTCAGACGTAAGCAGGGACTGCCAATTCAGATATGGGACACGAGTGTCTGCTACAGCCCGCATTAGAGGTCAATATTTAGTGCACATAAAAAGGGCCGGAGACGGAGAAAAATCAGGTAAGATAACTATGGTTTGTTCCTTTCGCAATGCTACACCTGGTTAGGATACCTGAGATGCAACACAGAGAAAGCGTAGACAATTCATAACTATGCTCCAAAATATCCACAGATGAGCACTTAGGTAATTCGCCTTCAAGTATTGCGCTGTGGCTCCAATGGCATTGGTCATAGTTAAGAGGGGAGGCTGGTCTTTGAGTACAGGTCAGCTGGAGGCGGGCAAATATCGACACATTTGGGCATTTGTATGTGGTTATTTTCGAATATTTACTGATGTGCTCTGGTCTGTTTTCTGGTTTTGGTTTGGTTATCCAGGTGCTTGAGTGGAGCCTCGCTCGGCAAAAAAGACGCAGGCATCCCGAGAAGTGCTCATGAGGCGTATTGTAAACGAAGTAGGAAGAGTGTGTGACGGAGCACTCGTGGCATGTGGTTGTTCTTCTTCGGTGCTCAGTGGCAACCATGCACGCTGTGCCCGTAGTTAGCCCGCGTTCTCATCGGCTGCGTCGCCAAAGCACTGCTGCGTTTCTTTTTCTGTGCTATGGCCCCCTAGCCACAATTGTATATTCACTTTATTCATCTGCACGAGAAATATATGGCCTTCAAGAAAGCACGCTTCCGTTTTGTTTTTTTTATAGAACCAAACAATTCATTTTATTCTGTGCACCTTTTGAGAGAACAGCAGTAATTGTAATCTGGCTTGTTTCCGTTTATTTTATTGAAGACCCGGCGTTTGCCTCCTTCCTATAAATAATACTATGTCATGCTTATAATGAGCATGTCGCTTATGACTACCAAATGCCGAACGAGCAGGGAATAAGACAAAGAAAGCCACGCAAGAGGACTGAAGACTATTGTTGTGGGACAAGGTGACGTTTTGTTTACGCAAGTCGGATGCTAGCAGCTTGTGAACTTGAGTTCCACTTTACGCTCTGCATGTCGTTGAAAACTAGACCAAGTTATCGTCTCTTTCAAATGTGTGTATGACTTGACTTTTTCCGACACTAGTAGCTGGGTACTATTCAACAAGTTCCACAATTTACAGAAAAAAGCCCTAAATAACAGAAATTGTGCTGAAGGCCACTTCTGCCATACATCTACATCAAGTTGTAGCACTAGTAAATATTTAAAATCGCTAGTTTTCATAGTGTTCAGTTGTTTGTAGTCATTTTATTGTTGAATGGTGTTCCTTCTTCACTACATGGTCTTAGCGGCATTCAGAGTATGCGGTGCTATACCAAACAAATACCGAAAGTACGCAATATGATTTCCGACTATAGCCAGTCCTGTTAATACGTGTCGGGTCATATCGCGCCGACTCAGAATAATGTCTAGCTTCATTTTGCATCTAGACTGCCAAAATACTTTTTACACTGACCTTGGAATTCACCAGAAACGATATTCAAGCCTCTTTAATTTGCAGCCTCACGATATTCTCAGTACATATTAGCAAAAATGTCTTCACCTAAGTTACTTCTGCTGTATTTCTGTTAACGCGATAGCATAAAAGTGTTAGTTTCACAAAACTTCTGGGGTCGACATCATTATTTGTGAGTGTAAATTAGCATAGTCTGTGAGCGAGAATTCAGGATATATTCGAAAATATAACAGAAATTTTTCGCGTTAGGCATGTGAATCAAATGCAGGCCTGCTCCGTGAACAGCAGGCTCTTAACCCAGAACCACTTCCTTGCGTGGTGTATTTGTCTTCTTAACGCATGTTATAATAGCGCGACAGAAGCCTAGAACCACACCAAGCGTAAAAACATGTCGATTGCACAACGAAAGGGTGGTTTCAAAGCCAACCCATTCAAATCGTACTGATGTAGTTGATTTTCATCGCCCCAGAAAGCTTTAGGAAAGTGAGCAGCTGCATGTGTGCACGCGTCGGCTTACGGACGCGCAGTAGGCACATCGCTAACTCACAGAACAAATTATGGCATATTACTCAAGCTCGTGCCGACTGCTTCGCCTCGACATGCATGACACGCTATAAGAAATCGCCGAGGCAATGAAGAGGGCGCGATTCACCAGGCTGTCCAACACGCGTTCTGGTAGAAACATTCTGCGGCAGCTGTAGATTCGACGGACATAAATCAAGCCTCACTTCTACAGCATTCCTCGTCTACCACTAGAACAAACCACCCTTGTCCCCATTTCACGAAGTGTCCACCCCGAGGATAACGGGGGCAGAAGGTGAGCCAGGACAAAGGCTATAATAAAGGACTCCGTAACACTCCGGGGACTTGCTTCGTCGATGCCACCCGATATCCTGGGGCGAAGGCGTAAGTATACCATCAACCACAACGGCAGTATCACAAGCTCCACAACTGGCCGGACGACGATGGCTTAAAGAGCAGACCAAGTGGCAATCAAGTTGGCCTTGCTGGACAACAGGAGGTCCACAACTCATAGCGACTCGAGATCCCCGCTCAGAGCATTCGCCAAGGGCACTCTACTGGAACCATCTTTGTGGATCCTTCGGGACAAGGAGGTCTAGCCACACGCTAGCTCGATTTCTAGCTCGCATGAGATGCATTGAAGAAGCCTCGCCCGATCTGAACGAATGAGCTGAAATAGCTGTGTGAGAACTAGGAAACTGCGTAGCTATTGGGGGGCGCAGCACTGACTTTTTAGGAAACCGGGACCCTCCCAACTCGCATAATCCACTCACAAAACATTTTACTTGGCGTGGAGACAATACTCACCCCAAAACACTGAGCAAATCTCAGGCTCTTGCACTCAAGCTTCTTCAAGTCGGGGCGTGTCCTAAGCCTGTGCTATTGCACATGACTTATCCCGAAATGCAGCCAACTAATACATGTTGTTTCGCAATGATATAGCCAATTTATAACACGTTCTCAGGTGGTGGCCCAGTGTTACACTGTTGTGAAGTCATCGCGCTGTCCAAATGGGAGGGTGCTATTAACAGCTCCAAACTTGAACAGCAGGTATAGATCCAACGAGCCTGTGATGAATTAGAGAGACTTGGTCTTTCTTTTCCGACGTGGGAGTGGCCCGCAACGTGCTAAAGTGCGTTCCTGGTGTTATTAAATTTCATCTCTCTATCCACTCATCCGACCATTCGTCGATCCATAGTGCGCACACCACACTGCAGCTGCACTTTCAGTAAGAGTTCTAGGATTGTCTGAAACAGCCAATGTTACTCTGCAGACGATCGTTTTATTGCGGCATGGTCGGACTGTCCACCGAGAGGCGAAACAAGGCTATAGATTATTGATAGTGAATGGGGTCCAATTATGCTATTGCAATTTACTCTCGAGGCGAAGCTCAAGAGTCCTCAAAGCTCGGAACTTAGAATAACCTTATTATCTTCGGGTTGACATAAATTATAGAGGGGTAAATTCTTATATATCGATGTAAAACATGGCGGAATAATGAAAACCACACTAAATAGTACATACCAAGAAAGAGCACTGTTGTTTCAACGCACGCGAGTCATTCATTGATTAGTTCTCGGTGTCATCGGCATGGCTACAAACACAAAAAAAATAAAGCTGCTTCGTCACATCGGTAGCCAACCTCAAAATTGATGCATAAGAAGCATCACAATGAACACAAGACACGTTCAAGAGGCAGATGAAGCAGCCAGAGCTCGCGCCATACCACAAACTGGCACTCATTATATAATCGCTTCCTCACATCGCCCACTTAAAAACTAAACTCATCATGATCACCCATGTGCTGAGGTGTCTTGCTTGGAAAGCGTGGGGTGTGCCGCTACCAGCAATTCTTCAGCTCTACACTGTTCTGTTCGTCGGTTATATGCGATACAGCTTACCCGTGCATTGTGGGTTCCGAAGAACAAACTTGCGCGTCCTCCAGTCGATCCAAGCCCAAGCACTGCGAATATGCCTTGGTCTCCCGAGATGCGCGTCTACAGTAGCGACAGTCATCATTGTGCGTAATTATTCAGTCAACGCAAACATCTGCGTAAACGCTTCGAGAATGCACCTAAGACATCTCTCTCGGCTTCCATCACATCACCTCGCCTCTCTTCGAACTTTTAAGCCCCACTCAGTGTTCAGCGCAACTGTAGCTCAGAATTGCGCAGTGCTTCCATTGCACTTCACGCATGTAGCACGGCGGCCAATACCATTGTGGTGCCTACACCCACTCAAAGCCCTTCTTACAATTCCTGGCATCCGCCCCGCCGCGGTGGTCTAGTGGCTAAGGTACTCGGCTGCTGACCCGCAGGTCGCGGGTTCGATTCCCGGCTGCGGCGGCTGCATTTCCGATGGAGGCGGAAATGTTGTAGGCCCGTGTGCTCAGATTTGGGCGCACGTTAAAGAACCCCAGGTGGTCAAAATTTCCGGAGCCCTCCACTACGGCGTCTCTCATAATCATATGGTGGTTTTGGGACGTTAAACCCCACAAATCAATCAATCAATCAATTCCTGGCATCCAAAATAAGAAAAAGTCGTCGCATCTAGCCCTGAAACAGGCCACGTTACTCTTCTTGCAAGAGAAGCACCACGGACGCTTTCACATTTACACGGATGGCTCTGTGTCCTCACTAAGCTCAGCTGGGGCGGTGGTTATTCCCACGAGGCACATCACAATCAAATTCATGACATCGCAGTTGACGTCATCGACAGCTGCATAACTCACCGCCATACGTGTAGCTCTGGAGTTTATAGTTGAAGAACCTTCGGGAACTTGGTCTATCTTCTCGGACTCAAAGGCAGCTCTTCAATGCCTTATGTCACCATTTCGCCATGGACATAATGAACAGTTAGTAGCTGAAGTAAGGCTTCTTCATCACCAAGCAATCAAGAACCAGCACAGCATAGTGTATCAGTGGACACCAGGTCATTGCGGTATACATGGCAATGACCGCGCAGATGAGGCCGCTAGATCTGCACACGACGGTACCCAATACAGAGCCATGCCGTTCTCAAGAACCAACGCAGATACAAGACTTCGTTCGCTTGCATGCACGTGATCCTCACACTGGTACAGTGGAACTCAACAGACTTCACAAACGTGCGCATGCATAACTTAGATCTCGATCTGCAGCTTCGTCTTCCCTCAGGAATATCTCGAGCTGAGGAGGCTCTTCTATGCCGCCTGTGGCTTGGAGTGGCCTTCACGAACGCATACTCCTATCTTATAGGAACGGCTAGCTCTTCTACATGCACTTATTGCAGCTGCGGAGAAATCATCACGCACCTTCTATGTGAGTGCACCCATTTGAACGCGCCAAGACAAGAACTGACTGCAGCTCTGGATAGACTGGATGATCGGCCTTTGTCGGAACAAAGAATTCTGGGTCATTGGCCGAGCCCATCCTCAGCCCAGGAGGCTTTGAAAGCTTTGCTGTGCTTTTTGCGGGCAACTGGCCTCAGAGACAGACTTTAGTACCTTATATTCTTTGATGTTGCCTTTCCTCTGTCGCTATTTTTGTAGTTTCTCTCTCTCGCTCTCTTCGCAACATTTCTTTTTATCATCTTTCATTCCCTTCACCCCTTTCCCCAGCACAAGGTAGCCAGCCGGTCTGAGAAATGGCTAAACTCCCTGTCTTTCCGTTTAAACTTTCCTCCACCGCCTCCTCCCCCTCCTGCTCCTCCTCCCATAAAGCACTGCGTTTTCTTAGAGCAGTAAAAAAAACCATGATGACTGATGCATCTGCATCAACACCCTATAAACCCAAGCCCACAATGCCAACCTTCTGTGTATCCCGATGTGTGGGACTGAGTGGACGAATTGACTAAATTTATTGACATCGGTAAAGATCACCAACTGCAGAAATGCACCTTACCTAAGGGTAAGGTGGTGATGAAAACTCAATAGGTCTCAGTCTGTCTAATGCGACAGCTACTAACCAAGTTACTAAGAGTCTGGCACTATTACATTATAAATAGAAAGCTGTGCGGCCAGTAAATTCAGATTTCGATGGATGCACTATCTTAGCCTATTGAGGCACCGCAAAGCGAAAATTTGTCCGGAATAAGTGACAATGGAACACAGCGCGCAACGGCTTTCAAGCGCTTACTTTCACCTTGTAAGCACGTCTTCGGCAGCCATTGGGACCCACGTGGCCATTTACAAATAACGTCAAAATCACTATATTTCCCTCATTTGCATGAGCGTTGGAAAAAACCGGACTGAGGACAAGTGACCTTTACGGCTGCCGCCTGAGAGGTGGGACGATATACATGCATTATTTCATGTTTCAAAGCTTTACTAAGCATTCAAGTATGTCAGTAGGAACTTGTACATCGAAATAAAACACATGCTGAAGCAAGAAATGTGATAGTTCGTTTGTTCGCGTTGTGCATTTGGCAATGTTCAATATATTGAGCGTCATATATTGAGCGTCAATATATGACGACAGAGACACTACAGAGCGCACACGTGCTGTATTGGCATTGTGCAGATACTAAAACATCGCACGTTTGGGCTTTGCAGTAGCCCAGGCCACGAGCAAAAAACTGGCTATAAAATGCGCGTGCTATAAATACTGTTCGAGAAAAGACAGCTTGTGCTTAAAATAGTTCATTGAGTGAGAAATGCGTACAGCTGCTTTGTTGCCAACAGTTATCTAAATTTGCAAAATAACGCATAACCATGCCATGAGCTTGTCATGAGGAAAGCACTGACGAACTTTCCACACTATGAAACAGAAAGCTATTTAAGATATCTCGAAAATCAATGAGTGAGACGGTGCAGTATTCGCAAGCTCTGCGTTTCAAAGCGGACCTTGTTGCAAACGCGATGCCACCAAATTACATCGTTCTTTCGTTCATTCCCGACGGGTACATAAATACACCCGTGGGAAATGTGACTAATGTTGTGTTCATTGTTCATCGAGGCGATAGCTTTTCCGTGCATGCAGTGGCCTTCAAACGAGAGAAAATGTAAAAATGTATTTTCTTCACAAAAAAAAAGAAGTGAATTATTTCTGAAAAAAAATTGTCTCTCCTCTCGATGATTTCTCATTGATTTCGCATAGGCTGTTAAACGAAAGTGACTGGAAAATCTTGACCCTGCATTTTTGTTAGAAAACTGCTGCTTGAAACTATGCTTCCCGTACTGTGTGAATGCAGCGTGACCTCATTAGACAGTGACGATTAGACAGCATGATCCTAAACAGCATTGGCATAAACTAGCAACCAGTTTTCTTTCTACCAGGCATACTCCTGCAGAAAGTAGTCACGTCACAGGCCACTTTGTTAAAAATCCTTATGGTACCATTACAAAACCAGCGTGTCCTTAGTCGTTTACAACGCTTAATTTCTCAAATATTGTAATTCTGGTCTTTGAATAAACCCGCCATGATGGTCTAGCGGGTATGGTGCTTGAAAGCTTACCCGAAAGTCAAGAGAACGCATCATTGCCTCGCTGACCGCAATTTCTGTAGCGGTAAAAATGCTTGAGGTTCGATTTCGTTGCACGTAAGAGAACTCCTCAAGTGTTCGAAACTTCCATAGAACTCCACTGCTGTGTCTGTCATAACCACAATTGTCGTTTTGAGACATAAAATTTTATTAGTTATTACCACCTCTGAATAGATTAAATGCGAATGTTCACTACCTTCCTATAACTGATTTGGTGATTTTAAAAGTTACGCTTCATCTATTGCACAGAGATTATTGTTTTCTTACGTGCACTTGCGTCGCTTAACTAAATGTCTTACCCTAATAGAGGACTAGGAGCTGCAAACTTAGTGCAAAGTTTGCCGCTAAATTATGTTATATTTATTTGTCTTGCTCTAAAGAAAGAATGTTTCAAAAATTTAAAAATGTTAGTTTATTTTTTTAATTGTTTGAACTTAATGGTCTCAAATTTTGGCCACTAAGGTTATGCTCCCCATGGTACGCTGTGATAGTAAGGTTAATTTTGATTACCGCGACTATGACACCTTCCTGTGCATTATTGTATGCTGTGGGAAATAAATCACATGTATTGTGGTATCTGAGATCAGCTTTAAATGTTTAAGGATTACAAGAGGCAAGGAAAACTAAGTACTATCGCTTCTTCAGTAGATAGCTTTAAATTTAGATTGGCGGCCTGTTCTAAACCGTGATAACGACAGGGGCTCACTAGTTCGAGAAAATGCAGTCAAGAATATTTAGGAAAATCTTTCTCTTTTTTTCAAAACTAGTGATATGTGTTCATTTGAGGCTCTCAGTGCTGTACTGGTGTACTGTGTGTTAACCCAAGTTTAGTACTTTACTATATAAGCATAATTATAACCATTGCTGCTTACATAAATGTGCTATTTTCTACACATATAAGCCTTCGTGAGATATGTAAGCCGTTGCTGTAACACATTTACCTGTTATATTGCTTGAACCGCCAAACTCGCAAATAACAGCGCATGTATTAAGCAATATCAGTAAGAGGACGTATTGCTTATAGATCCTACTTGTGAACTGCCGCTACTTCAACTCAATTCAATTCAAGTTTTATTTACGAGAAAAACAATCTGGGGATCTGGAGTACTTCCTCCTAGTGGCACCCAAACGCTATTGCAGTGTATGCGCCTACTTAATGATGATCAAGTCAAAGTAATAGCCATTCATAACAAGGCAAAAATTTCTAATAATAAGTTTTTACGTGAGCGTGAACCAATGGTGACTTTGACGGGACTTGGCACTTCATGATGCTCTATAGGACATACGAAGCGCTGGCGGCGTTGGTATATTGACGTAGCTGCTGGAAAACGAGCCCCTCGTGCTGGCCATGGACTGTCAACGGGCAAGCATATCTGTCTTCTCGGAAAATTGCACGCTCTCCGGTCCGCATATTTTCACAGCCTTTCCAGACCGTGTGCTGCTCTCACTAACTTCTGTCTCTACGCCCTTCCATATGTTTACTCCCTGTCATTAACAGCAGTATCTCCTCTCTGCTGTTATTAATGCACATGCTGGTTCTTCATGGTGGCCTGCTAGTACACACGGCGCTGTAATTTAGCTTTTAAAGGCAGTCCCTGAATTCATTCCGACGTTAGTGTGTGAGACACGAGTTTAGCAGCGAAGTACTGACACACCGACTTACCGGTAACAATGGCCTTACGCGTACGAGCACTGGTCGTCTTGCTGTTTGTGGGCGTCGCAAAGCTGTCCTACGCGCAGCAGTGCCTTAAGCCACAAGGTAGTATTTCGCATTTATTTGTCTGAGAAAGCTCACTGTTAAAATATTTTAAATTGCATCTGTGTTAGTGCAGCCCTTCAGCGAATTACTAAAAGCCAGTACATGTGGGACGTCACCTCAAAAGTCATTGTCAAACGAGCAGCTAGTTAGGTTAGCAAACACTTTACTATCAAGTTTCGTTCATATAGGTGAAGTCCTGTAGCAGTATAAAACTACTTAGCCTGCAGCCACTGCTCATAGTCTGTGCAATACTCATCGTCAGCCCAGGTTACTCACAGTAAAAAATACAGACTCTGAAGTGAAGTTCAGGTTGTGCTTACATGATCGTTCTGATAGTACCTGGTCTGTAAATTTCTGAGCAACATTTTTACGGGCGCTGGGTGACATTTTCATGGCCTTCATGCTGACGTCATCGCCGGCTTTTTTTGAAAACCGCCCGATTGCTTAAGCGGAGTTTTTCTCGATTGTTCTTTGTGCGCTATAGTTATTCAAGACGCTGATTTGAGCCCAACATACACTTAGTTATTGCAACAGTTCTTCACCGCGCCTTGTCATCCTGGTCTGTTAAACAGTTATATAGTACGCACATCCATCAGTAATCAACTCTGTTTTAAACATTGCTATTCCCGTTTCCTCCCCCGCTGATTTGTCATCTTACAGTGCTTCTCAAAAAGAGAAAAATAACACCATCGGTGATCCAAAATATTTGATTTTTTGTGTCGTAGTAAGTAATATAATAGTTCACCAACCAAGAGCTGAACAGATTGCTCGAAGCTTTTCTATATATAGGCACTTCAACGAGCGACTTGCCCTTCTTCATGCCACGTGAACTCCACATGTTAAGATGACGGCTTGAACTCTTTCTCAAGCATGTAGGTTATGGGGCTTTGTCATACAGATTGTGAAGTTGAGTAAACGATCGATGTCATGGGAGACTTCAGTGATAGCTGTGTCATTTGAGTATATAATTATCTTTATTTTTGCTCTCAATGGGCACCCTATAACCTCTTGGTATAGAGGCACGCTACCTGTCTACGCTGCAACTGACTTCATGGTAGTTTCAAGCCCACACAACTCTAAAAACCCGGTTCAGGAGATACAGACACAAGTTGGCTTTTAGGCCACGCCCGTCTCAGTCTCCATGAAATGCTGCATAGGTGCTGTTTAAGAGTGAAGTACTTGTATACATGGCACTGATTCTCAGCACAATGTGTTAGGCGTTGTTTATCCGGTGACCTTCATGAGATTTACAAGTTTCTGTTCTTATAACAAAAAACTGTCAGCAGTGCTTCGGCAGTAATCTTTCTCTTGGTTAAGGTTTTTCAGCCTGCTGTCTAGCCATATGAAGTAAATGATTAAAATACAGCCTCTCTCCGATTGCGCTGAAGCGCATTCACAGGCATCCCACGAGTTGCGCCATCTGTAGCAAAAGTAGACAATCAAACGCCAGCCAAGCAGTTCAACTTTCACCTATTAAGGTGGCGCCATATAGCGCCGAGTTTTCTAGTGAGTGCAGGATCAATCTTTCCCGAATGGCGCCACGTTACCTGACTAGAAACAAAAGGCAAGCAGGGAACATAGTGGTGTAGCTGCGTTTATGTTGCTCGACAGCGTTATGCCTATTTTTCTAGCTCACACTTCAAGTCCGGCGCCTGTTCTTTTGCCAAAACTGGTCGGACGCACCTTGCGTAGCTGCTTGCGCTCCAGTGGCTAACGGTCATTGCGTCGTGATGAGAGACTTAGCGCAACCTATAGAAACAGACCTTTCAAGCTCAAAGTTTCGTAACTAAGCTAGTACATGAGTATATCTGTTATGTAGGGACCTGTTTCGAGGTTCCATCACTTTCCGTGCGACCGATGGTGAAGTAACGGCCAATTTGACTGATAAAGACAGTACGAATGTCTCTCACCAATACTTTTCTGACATGTGCGTTCGACAGAGGTATAAAAAATGCGATATTTACCCTGATTACCTTCAGGAGAAGAAGTGATGAAGAAGGCTGGCCAGGTCGCGGCGGAACTGATGAAGCAGTGCGTGCATCTGTTGGACAAGCACCCCATGCCTCTCAGCATGATCGCTGATGTGAGTACTGTCTTACCAAAACCACTATCATTTACTTCAGGCACATTACCCTGGGCGGTGCCAACGTCGGGCAGCTGCTATGGATCGGGCATAGAGTGGAAGAAGTCCTCTAAAACGAAACCCGTGAAACTGGGTTCAACTACAGAAGCTACGTATGTGGCACGTGTGTTCTGTTTTCCTTATTAGTCCATTCGCGAGGTTATATTTGCACTGGAGCTGCCTAGGTACTGTCATAACGACTATGAATAGTCTAGTCACAGGAAGCCATCGTCCCCATACTTACTTTCAGAAAACAGCTTAACGCTCCTACAGTGGCATCGTTTGAAGGGGCAATTGTGTGTTCAATGAGTGACACTTCACGTAGTTAAGTGGCCCGTCCCATACACTGTACATCGTGTATGGTACTGCACTTCAAATTTCGCCATTCTAAGCTCTACAAAAAAATGTAGGTAAAATATTACTCTTCAGTGATGTGTTCGTCTAAACACCCACCTCCAGTAGGCTTACGGCTCCCCAAAGTTCCAGAATTCAGCCTACTCATGTTTCTTTCAACATCCTGCCATACTCTCATTATGAATGCCGTCACTGCCGCTTTGGTTAAATTAGTTCATGTGACGCTCGATTTTTACTTTCTTACTCCACTGCATTTTCTAGGCTATGAAAACCCTTTGCGACGACTACGTGGCGTGCCATGACAAGCACCAGGATATGATCAACGTGAGTAAAGGTGCAACGTAGAAACCTAGGCCTATTAGTCTCTTGTTGTAAGGACTGTATGAGAGCGATTTTCGACACGTGCCGGCAATTAAACCAGCCTTACATGCGAAACTACCATCATCAAACAGTGCCTGCGAATTTCATGTATAGTCATTCAATACCCTTACTGCGTTCAGCAGTCATCAAAGCATTAATGATAGAAATTTAGTTTACTTTTCCCGAAACGCTCCCAGCTCTTTTGTTTAGGTGCCGTGTTTTGAATTCCAATATCATTGCTGTTGTCGTTCATTTTCAACAATCGGGTAAATAGGCTAAGGTCCCCTGTCACTCTTGTGTTTTCAAATTGCGCAGACGAGTAAAATAAAAATGTTTAACTACAATTTAGGCGATAAAACTTTTCATGTATTTTCTTTAAATAATTACTGTTGTCTTTACGTTTCTTTTTTGTGTGTAGAAGCCTGATGAGTACAGAAAGCTACTCATTACTTGTGGTCATCCACATCTCGTAAATTTTTTCGTAAGTATGATGCAAGAAACCTTCTTATGACTTTCCGTTACTACAGCAATGCTATATAAAGCGGAAATTTGTGAAGTTTCTCTCATTGAAAAAGGTCCAATTTTTATTCAATACGTCTTCCTCTTTTCCACAGAAATCTCGATCGGAATTCAAACATGATCCAGAAGCTGTAGCGACGGAGATTGGAGTAAGTTGTAAATTCTATACATAGTATACATATAATATCATATGAAATATAACACAGAAATAGCAGCATACCTTCCAAATGTGCTGAGCTGAAAGTATACGCCATTCATTACTGTTCCCCGTACGCAGCCTTGCTGAGTGGTACTCATATTATAAGGTTATGACTACGCCCTTCTTTGTCCCAAACTTTCTAAATATCTTTTGGCCCATTTTCGAGGCTGCACCAACAAAATGAGTGTCGTTGTGAAGTATTAACTTTGAGTATTCTTGCAGACCTGCATCATGGACCATATACCATTGACCAAAGAGATGGGCATTGCGACGACCTACTGGATCCTCAAGATCATGGGAGCACACGAGTGAACAACTGCAGTCGCTTGGTGGACGCAGTTCGCGTGTAATATCTCAAATTCTCAAATAAAGCTTGTCATTAAAACCAATCGCAACTCAGTGAGCGAAATAAAAAATCTCATAACAAAGTTCACTTTACTGATAGAAATTCTACCTGGGAGGACGAGCATCAGTAACACGCTCACGCAGACGGATAACGATATCACGCACCCAATACCACGTCCTGACGTCACTTGTCTGTCATCAAGGATCTTGTTGCAGTCGTTGCTACGATGTGCCACTTCTTATAAGAAGTAGATGGTATTTTATTGCAAGGTAGTTATCTTTACGGTGATAATGCACCTAATACCATGTCTGCACGTAAAAAAACATAAAACATTCAGTAGTACTTATTTGCTACCATTCGTTGTCATCGTTAAGCTATGTCATGACATCAAACAACACTGGAGGATTTTATTTGCCCCAGCGGAGACAAAAGCGGTATACAAAGTATTTGTTCTTGTTTTGATTGAATAGAGCTACGTGTTACTCGTCACGCATATTTAGTCTCCAAGTCCCCAAGGCTTAGTAGCTGCTTGTTGGTCATTCGGAAGATTTAGCGGGACCTCAACAGTGCCCACATCTAACTCCCCGGTGTTGATTATTTTCGTTCGTTTAGTTACGTGAGAACTCAATCAGCAGTGATCTATAGACTGTTCCCCTTCTGCTTCACAATACAGAGCGCAAGACTCTCTCATTATATGAGCGGACCCTTATTTGCCCCAAAGGACACTGTGCCTATGAGAGGGACAAGTGACTGCCAGATGAGCATGGAGAACATGACAATAATCTGCGGTGTCGTGTAACACGACGGCACCTTAAATGAGTTAAACCTCCAGGGTAAGTATTATAGTAAATTTAAGGTGTAATCAATGTAAATATTTGTTATAATTAATTAGTTAACCAAATACGCGTGTTTTATTGTGAGCACGTTATTTCTTGTAGGAAGCACGTTCATGGTCCCCGTTCATACAATTTAGTGTGCCACTGAATGTGCTGTAGGCTTTCACGTTCAAGTGTTACAGGTGGGAAGGTACCAACAAATGTCTAACGCGATGGCGTTAAATATCTCGTTTTGGAGAAAATTCTGGCACCGGGGTTGGTGTCTCCGTCGTTGGTTGAACGCAATAAATCGGTGTTGCCCTCGAGCAAAAATTTCACATGTATGCCAAAAAATAAAAACAATAAATGAATGGTTCTTCCGAAAATCAAACACGAGAGTTTCGCATCCAACCAAGTGTTCTACCAGGAAGCCCTGCCAGTGCTGGAAAGTGCAGCGTAAAAAAATATATATGAATGTCAAGTAATGGAAGGAGTCGTCCTTAATATTCCATGACTGAGTATTCAGATGGTACCTGGTATTTGAACGTAAGAATTGCACAACGAGGGAGTTGTCTAAAGTTGCCCACTCATTACGAAGAGCGAAGCCTCGTGATTGTGTGAGAAACTTTACAGACACGCGAAGCGGGTGCTTTGTGAACTTGCAAGAGGAAGACTTACGGCGTAGGGGGCACTTCGCAACCATACCTGCTGTAGACATTCTAGAATAGTTTGAAACGGCCAATGTTACGCGCACAAACTATCGGTTTCTTGCGGCCCAGTTGAATGTGATGCTCACGGAGCCTGAATTTCGCTATCTCTTTCCACTCTGGAAGGTGAAAGTCAAGCGTTCTCCAGTATTTTGTTTTGTTTGTTAGTTTTATAATGATTTGTTGTAATATATCATAAAATACACGCCTGTCACACCTTTCTGAGATTTCAAAAAGATGCACTCATTGTAAGTACACTAAGTATGAGAAACGGAAGGGGAAACAAACCTGGAAGGAGTTTCTAAATTAGCACAATTCCTGACACCTCAAGTTACACCTTGTGCAATAGTGGTAACACTCGAAAAAAATTGAGGTAATGTTTACTTTAGGACTGTGGGTTGTATTCCTGCGATAAACTAGTGCTTGCATTTGTGGACACGCGAGCAGGACTCCTCCGACCATATTACAGCTGTATATGAGAATTGAGGAAAAATAGAGCCCATGATGTACTTTTTAGTGCTCCACCGTGCACTGTGTGAAATCAAAAAAATACTTCCGACTGGAGTCCAGTAAATGTGGCCTGCAGATAAATTGTTACTTCATGGTGGTAAGTTTCTTCCAAGTGAACTTTTCGTGTGTGGGCATGTCTGCCGCTGTGTGCTTCCATTCGAGCAATGAAGAATTCTTAGTCGTTGTTACTTTGCTATCGCGGGACCCAACGTCCCGCAGTGGGAGACCCAAGTGGAATGCTGAAGCCTTGAAAACCAGTCACGTCAAGTAAACAGGGCCAATCGGCCCTCTAAGGCTGATGGTATCCTGCACCATGGCCCTTTCAGCTTGGATGACCTCATTATCCACTTTCATTGTATTAATATGCATTCCTCTAACTCCTTGCTACGCTTATTCTAATTTGCACTGATTTTCTACATATCTCAAAGTTTTGATATGCTTTAAAATATAATTACCGTTTCTGTAGTCCCAATACAAGCTACGTTCGCATGACAGTTACACATTTAGCTTCTTTTAAATCATCAATTACATTTTACAGCAGAAATTGGTATGAGATCACAAAAAGAGCCATTTTGGTGCCGTAGTTCTCCACCACCACCATTGTTGGTGTCCGTAATTGCTAAAGCACGAAAATAAGGGGTAAAAACAGATAAGAAAAAATGTCCAAATTGGAACGCATCTACCTAGCTTCACTCTGGGGCAGCTCGGTATTCCACCAAACAGCCATGCTGCTTTTTTTGCTTTATTGATTGACACAGAGCCATGCCGAAGCTTGAATTTTATTCACAAAAAGACTATACATGCGTCCTGTCAGGACGAAACAAACATAAGTGGCATGACGAAAGCGAAAAATGACAACCACGCGCCACACTCTGCAAATTGTGTAACCATGCGTCACACAAAACTTATTACGTAACAAGACGACCATCGAGTGCTTCCAACTCATTAAAAGGTGCTCAGTCATAATTCTTCATCACCATAAACCACCTCATCAACAATGTGCACATAATGCGCGGCAAATGCGTAGCGGGTACCTCGCTTCTTCGCACAATTACGAATCACGGCGTAGTGAGCACTTCCCTGCTTGACATTTTTTTAGCATAGTGGGTACCTTGCAAGCGCCGTTGTATTGGTGGCATTGATTGTATTGATGACGGTGCCGTTGTATTGATGACGTTGTATTCATGACGTTGTATTGATGACGTTGTATTGGTGATCGTTGTATTGATGACGGTGCCGTACATTCCGCACAGGCATGGTGCTTTTTTATTTATTAAGTTAGGCACTTGTGCGCAGCCGTGGGATTCTTCACCCGTCCCTCTCTGTGGGTATTGGACAATTTTCTGAAAGGGTAATGATATCATCATCACCAGCAGCATGCGCCATTCTCGCGACGAGAAGGACAACTCGAATCATCACGATCGGGTAAGGTGGGACCTGCTCTCGTCAAGGGAGTTTCCTTTTACTTTTTTCTGAAGAACCGTTTGCGTTGACGTTCTCAATGTGCCGCGCGTATCTTCAAAACTCGGCTTTACTGCAATCAAAATTAGGCATAAATGCTTCGTCTTGCTTTGTGTTCATGATTTAACTAGTCCTCGCTCATGCGCCCACAATGGTTTCTCACATTTTCGTCTTCGCAATTATGAATCTAGACAACTAATTAAAGTACCGAGTTAGTATAATTTGTGATGTGCATAATCAATAGTGCATTAGCCCAAAGCGTGTTTATGTAACATGAAGGTGTTTTATGCCGGGGTCTACCAAGATTTCAGTGAAGCACTTCCGTCACGGAAGTGATGTTGAAAACACGCACGATCAGAATATAAAGAAAAAGCTGTGTCAATGGGATTCAAACCTTCTACCCCTGAGTCCACAACAACAAATGCCAGGCACGCTATCCCCTGCGCCATGGTCACATACATTGGATGCTTTAACCAATGCTCTTTTTAACTATACCAGTCTCCTCTGACAGCGTTCTTGGTAAAGCGCAGTATGAATCACGACCATGGTACCCATTATTAGAGAGTTTTAGTACTGCGTACGTGGCAGCGTTGCGTACGTAAGGACGCCACGTTCTGCGTAGTGCGCATGCGCAGACCGCAACGCGCACGTATCGCATTACGTACGCAGCCGCTACGTACGCACGCATGAGATGCGTGCGTGCGTACGTATGAGGTGATCGCGCCGCTCTCGAACAAGTTCGCGACAGCGCGAGACTTCGTTTTGCAAAATGGCGGCATCGAAGGCAAGCACCGACCGGCTCTCTGGCTTAAAATATGCCCATAATCTGGCTATAACACTTGGATTGACTCACATTGTCTGTCAACAACAAGTGCTTCTATTTTGATCTACCAGGTGGCGCAACACGCTTCACGCTTGTTACGTACGCGGGTACTACGGCGTACTAAAAGCCGATTAGTGGCAAACGACGCCACGTAACGCAAGGCGCTTGCGTGATGCGTACGTAGCACCATTCCGCAGTACTAAAACTCTCTATTAGTTCCTTCACCGCGTTGTTTCCAAGCGCCCATCTCATTCAACGCGTTTCATAGCAGACGTGCAATTTCCGCAACGCCTGAACACATCCCCAGGTAGCGACCTTACCCCAGGCGTCATCGTCACTCATAGAATCTATGTATACCAAACAGTTATGCGATTCCCGCTAGCTTCGTCCAGCTATAGCGCCTAGGTCATCGTCGCTCATAGAATCTATCTATACCAAAGAGTTATGCGATTCCCGCTAGCTTTGTCCAGCTATAGCGCCTAGCATATACTTACTATAGTCCGGCTTCAATTTTGCGTTCCCCACGTACGCTCGCCCCGCGAACAATCGCGGCTGGCCAAAGGGAAGACGCGACGTGCGTTGCGTTTCCCTCTCATCAAGCAGTCGTGTAACTCCAACATTCCGCGAGTAGGTGACCATAGACCAAGTTTGGCGTCCAATAAGTCACGCTCTTCCGGGGTGTGTTCCAATACTCACCGCATACGGCTAAATAGGCAGCTAAATCGACGGCGGTCATCTTAGGTCTCATTCCAATTCTCACGTAGCC